ATGGCTAAGTTCCTAGACCTTTTGCAAGGTTCTTATAGGAGAATGGCATAGTAGCCCAGTATTCTACACTGGTTGAACCTCAGCAGAGTGGAGTAGCTGAAAGACACAATTGTACCCTGAAGGATATGGTGCGTAGTATGATAAGGTACTCCACCTTACCGTTGAGCCTGTGGATGGAGGCGTTAAAAACCGCCATTCATATTCTCAATAGAGTACAAAGTAAGTCGATGCCCAAAACACCGTATGAGTTGTGGATAGGAAGAGTACCCTCACTAAACCACTTACGTGTGTGGGGGAGTCCTACTGAGGCTAAAGTATTCAACCCAAACATTGGGAAGCTAGATCCCAAAACATGTAAGTTGCCATTTCATTGGCTACCCGGAAAAAGTCAAAAGATTTTCGTTTTCTCTTGTCTGCACAGACATAAAAGTTTGTGGAAACGAGACACATTTGTCTTCCTAGAGGACGAAATGATGAGGGGGAGCATGGTAGCTCGAGAAATTCACCTTGAAGAGAAGCGGGTGTATGTGCCCACTCGATGATTCATGAGCCATTTTTCACTCACTACACTGTTGCCATTTGCACCGACGGTGTAAGAGATCTTGTGGTGCCAGCACCTATTGTTATTCCGCCTGTGGCAACAATGAATGACGATGAGGAACCCGTTCTTTAGGATCCTGTAGAACCTATTGCCACACATGAGGGGGAGCAACAACAGCCTCAAACAGAAGATGTGCCAAATGTGGAGGCCCCTATAAGGTCTCAAAGAGTTAGAAAATCAGTTATTCCCGTTGACTATGAAGTATACAACACTGAGCAATTTCAAATGGAGGATGATCCCACCTCATTTGAAGAAGCCATGAGAAGTGATCATTCATCAAAGTGGCTTGAGGCTATCGAAGATGAAATGAAATCTATAAATGCCAATAAAGTTTGGAACTTGGAAATAATTCCTAAAGGAGCCAAAACAGTAGGCTGTAAATGGGTCTATAAAACAAAACTTGACTCTCAAGGGAATATAGAGAGATATAAAGCGTGACTTATGGCCAAAGGCTTTACGCAAAGAGAAGGCATTGATTACAATAAAATATTTTCTCTAGTCTCATGTAAGGATTACTTCAGAATCATAATGGTATTAGTGGCACATTACGATTTAGAATTACATCAGATGAATGTAAAGACGACATTTCTCAACGGGGACTTGGAGGAAAATGTTTACATGGCACAACCGAAAGGTTTTGTCATGGAAGTAAAAGAACGAATGGGATACCGCCTAAAGAAATCCATTTATGGATTAAAACAAGCTTTAAGACAGTGGTACTTGAAGTTTGATCAGACAATAAGGAATTTTGGGTTTAAAGAGAATGTAGAGGACAATTGTGTCTATGCAAAGTTTAAGAATGGCAAGTTTATCTTCCTTATCCTGTATGTGGATGATATCTTACTTGCTAGTAGTGATGTTAGTCCAGTACTAGAGACAAAGAAGTTTTTGTCCTTAAAATTTGATATGAAAGATCTTGGTGAAGCTTCGTTCGTTATAGGGATCGAGATTCACCGAGATAGAAGTAAAGGGGTATTAGGACTGTCACAAAAGGCATACATAGAAAAGATCTTAAAGAAATTTAATATGTACAAATGTAGTCCCTCACCTGCTCCTATAATCAAGGGCGACAGATATGGGGATTTTCAATGCCCTAGGAATCAGTATGAGATCGATCAAATGAAAACGGTTCGATATGCTTCAGCTGTCGGAAGCTTGCAATATGCTCAAGTATGTACGTTCCCTGACTTGGCATTTGTTACCAGGTTACTTGGCAGATTCCAGAGCAATCCTAGAGCAGAACACTGGAAATTAGTAAAGAAAGTCTTGCGTTATTTGCAAGGAACAAAAAGACTCATGATGACGTATAGAAGATCAGATTCACTCCATATAGTGGGATATTCATATTCTGATTATGCGGGAGATGATAGAAAATCCACGTCTAGATATGTATTCACTCTCGCAGGGGAGCTATTTCATGGAAAAGCTCAAAGCAAACTGTCACTACATCATCCATAATGTATGCCGAGTTTGTAGTGTGTTATGAGGCAACGGGGCAGGTGAACTGGCTAAAGAAGTTCATACCCGGTTTGAAGGTGGTTGATGACATATATAAACCACTTAAGTTATACTGCGATGATAATCCGACAATACAGTATTCTCACAACAATAAGTCAAGTGGTGCTGTCAAACACATTGACATAAAGTATTATGTTGTGAAAGATAAAGTCCGGAATCATGTCATAAGTCTTGAGCATATAAGTACCAAAAAGATGCTCGCGGATCCGCTTACAAAAGGCTTACCACCCAACGTGTTCAGAGAACATGTAGCCAGCATGGGTTTAAGGAAGAAGGCCCAAAGTTAAGTATCTATTTTAGAACAGAGTGGTGTGTTGTAGTTGTTAAATCTATCGGCAATTGACCGTGACGATGAAACATGCTTTATGCGCTAATCTGTAATGGAATGAACAAAAGTAAATGATATGAAATTGAAAGATGGTAGGAGATCATAGGGGAGATTGTTAGATTGATCTCTAATCCCAAACTAGGCCCAACGGTCCTAGGTCTTTGATCCGCGCCCTGATCGGGTGCGCCCAGCTCATTATGGCTGGAGGGCCTCTGTCACACTATGTTATATATAGAGGTGGGGGCCGGCGGCTCTGAGTATGAGGTTTACCGAGCTACAGTTTCCCACCGAAATCCCTAATCCGATCTAGAGGGTGCTTGTGACTAGTGACGGAAGCTCCACTTTCTCGCGCGCCACCGGCTGCACCCGGGGGGCTGCGTCACCGGCACCACCACCGCCTAAACCGACTCCATGGTGAACGCGAGCAGATCCTCCTCCAAGGGCACAGACGGTCAGCCCTTTCCATCCCTTCCTCTCCCTCTAGATCTAGTAGTTCAAAGTTCTAGGGTGTGTTCATCATGTTTATAGTAAGATGTACCCGCTAGATCTATGGCTAAGGTCATGTTCATTCAACAGCCAGAGCCCACTCCATGTCCTTTTGGAAGTTGAATTCTGCTACAAAAAGATTCTCCTCCTTTTTCCCAATCGTTCTAATCTTTAAGCTGAAGGGATTGCCCCATGTCGGCTTCATCGCCTGGTAGATGGCATTGGCGTGCATCGTGGCCGGCGACAGAACCTTGCCAACGATGGTCCACTCCACAACAGAGGCTTCATTGTCTTCCTCATCGTCACTGAACGCCACTACATCCCCTTCTTCTGCAGTCAGGTTCAGGTTCTATAGCAGATCAGCGACGTGCTCATCCCGGTGATCCGGCTTTCCACTCCCGCTCATAGCCATGGATGCGATCGTCGTGGAGACAAAGGTGTGCCGCACGCAGATCAGAGGCGCGAGCACAAACCAAATCGGACCCAGGATCCTAGCGGTGCTAAAACCTAGCGGAATCTGTGGTCGACGGCGCCTGAAACGGCTAACCGTCGATGTGGTGGCCGCCATCGGTTGGGCACCGGTAGGCGGGGTGTGGACGTCGGTGTTCAATGGGAAACACCGGCAGAGCTGTTCCATATCGTCGACGAGACGAGCTAGAACGGGGTCGGGAAAGGGTCGCCTTCAGAATCACCGGTCTCGGGCTCCGGGAATTCCGGATCACATACTCCATCCCGGACCGCGTTTAGCTTAGGCTATGTTTAGCCAAGCTATAGCTTTTAGATTTCCTACATAAAACCAAACTTTATAGGACAAAACAAAGTAGTTTAAATCTCTGTATATTTCATCTAAAATACTCAGAACTTACACACAACTCGAGCTTTACTAATAAAACTGGGATTGGCCAACTTGCATGAACTATTAGTATTAGTATGAGCTCTGCTAGACAATGAGACAGACTAAGTTGAGGACTTCAGGCGTGGACCCGTGGTACAAGACGTGTTTGCAATTTGGAAATTTCGAAACAAAACATCCGTTCCCCACTCTTTCAAATTCTTTACCTAATTTGAAAACTGAGTGTAGGAAGCCAGTGGACCCCACCTGCAGAAGAGGAAAGGACAATCGTGATTGCTCATGCACAAGGAAACACATCCTAATACTTCCAAGATAACACGACCGCAAAAAGAAAGAAATTAAAAAGACAGATTTCCAGAAGCGCCTACTCACAGCCGCCCCTACCCACGAAAGACAAACGTCTCGCGCACCCGGATCGGAGCCCACGTATCCCCAGACCCCACCACCACTATGCCTCTCTGACACCGGGCCCACTCCTTCTCCGTCCCCACCACCACGACACCCCACCTAAGTCTGGGCGTTCGGTTAATCGAAACCGATCGGTTCGGTTCTTCAGCTAATTCGGTTATCTGAGAGGAAGGGATCGATCGATTACTTTGAAAATGCGGAACCGAGACATTTCGGTTTCGGTTAATTCGGTTCGGTTTCGGTTTTAACCGATGTAACCGAATTTTTCAGGAACCAAGAAACAACCCATTCAATTGCAAATTTCGGCAGCATTTTGCCTGATTTTCATGCAGTCAAAAGGGACAATTTAAACAGCAATGCAGCATAAAACAACAGTACAACATATATATGTTATCGTTCTCTCAAATATTTAAGCATAGAGCAATATTCTAGGGCCCTTTACATATTTTGGTTATTTCAGGTCAATTCGGTTAATCGAGTGCAGGAACTGAATTAACCGTAATAATTTTGGTTCCTGAGAACCTGAAACCGAACCTGGGACCGAATGTTTCGGTTTCGGTTACTTCGGTTTGGTTCGGTTCTCGGTTCCTGTTTTTTTTTCCCAGATTGAACCCCACCCCACCCCTCCCCCGCTTACTACGGTTTCTCACAGTTTCACACAACCGTTGGTAGTAGCCGTAGGCGAGACCGCGAGAGGCAGCCGAATTCGAGAGCGGTTCCGGCGGCGTGGGCGGCGCTGTGCCCGAGATTGGAGAGCCGAGTGGCGTGGTGGGCGGCTGGCTGCCAACGTACTGGCGGCGCGCGCGATGTGGGTGGCCGCCGGCGGGAGAGAGTCGTCCGCGGCCGCTGTGCTGCGGGTGCTGCTGATCGCGACCACCTGCGGCCTCGTCTTCGCGCTCCTCCACCTCCCGCTCCCCGACGGCCGCGCCCGCTCTGCCGGCCCCGGTGAGTCCAGCGACCTGCCTCGCTCCTCCCGTCGCGGAGAACCCCTCGGGCTAATTTCGTTGGGAGCCCGGCGCGGGTTCAGTGGCGCGCTTGGTGTGTGCTTAATTTGCCTTGCTGATGGCGATGGGAACCTGCTTTGCGTGCAGGTGGGGAGCGCGGCGCTGGTGGGGGTGGTGGGGCCCGCCTGTCGGTGCAGCAGGTGAGAGTGATACTGTGTCCCAGACGATCCTGATTCTGCTGGTCCTTTCCTTCTTTTGTTCTGTCGATTCCATTCTTGTTAGTTTCGTTTGCCTCCAATGTGAATTTGGTGCTTGTGCTTTTGCAGGGGAGAATTCGAGAGGCCAGAAGGCTGAGTGTCGTCACCGAAGAGGTAATTCGTTGCAACTGTGATATTGTTTATTGGGACTACGGGGAGTGTACCATTGGATAGTTTATTTATTTAAACAATTCTGGGAACAACCTTTTCCATTTCATCCCTGGAAGTAGTTGTTCCTGGGACCTGGGTGTCGGTGTGGTAGAGAAGTGCCACTGCTGAATTATACTAAGAAAGCGTAGCGTTCGTGGTGCCAAATTGCTGAATTCTGTAGCCTGAATATGAAGTTGGACTACAGTAGACAGTAGACACTAGACAGGGGAACCGCTAATTATATGTCAAGGGAGCAGTAATTCAAGTAGGATTTTCTCCCCTGATTTTTTTTCTTGCTTATACTGTATATGTGGCTGAACCTTTGCCAGTTCAAAATGAATATTGCGAGGTTTTGGTCAATTTCCTCTGCAGAATGCCTTGTCCTTTTCAGTATGTTTCTGAGCAGGGGGTACAATCACCGTTTCAACTGAATGCAGTTAAAGATACTAAGTCAGTGAGTCTTTCTACAGATAGACGGGCAAACTGATGAAATTGCGGCGGAAGAAGACGAAAGGATATCTAAATCTCCCCCGGACACCAAAGAAAAGATATGGATGATGCAAGATCAGCTAATTATGGCCAAGGCATACTTGCATTTCGCTGCTCCCCGAGGTAGTGTACATTTAGGTCGAGAGCTGAGATTGAGGATAAAAGAGATCGAAAGGGCAATAAGCCACTCAAGTGGAGGTACCCATGTACCTGGGAGGTAAGCTTTAGCTACAATGATCATTAAAGTAGTTCTGTTGAACTATGCAAATGCTTCATGAAAGAAACAATTCTGTTACTGACATAAAAAAGGAAAACACTATGCAGTGCGTTACAAAAAATGAAGGCGATGGAGCTGACCCTTTCCAAGGCTCAGAGGACCTACCCACGTTGCTCTCAGATGACATCAAAGCTACGTGCAATGATGCATAACAGTGAAGAATTGGTCAGAGCACACCAAAGCGAATCTTCATTCCTCGAGCAGGTTGCTGTGAGGACATTACCCAAAGGCCATCACTGCCTAGCAATGCAACTCACCTCAGAATACTTTTCGTTAGATCCCATTAAACGTGAATTCCCTATAAGAGACAGCATTCAGTTGGATGGTTATTATCATTATGCAATATTCTCTGACAATGTGCTTGCAAGTGCTGTGGTTGTCAACTCTACAATTGCTGCATCAAAGGTATGATCTTAGATTCGTGAAGCAATAATACTTGGTTTGCTTTCTCTGTGAGCTGTGTGCTTACTCAATGCACTACAGTTAAAAACAATGGAACTTCAATGTGGCAACTGCCGCTGTATGCTTTCTGCATGTCTATAATTACCCTGCTATTGGTTTTCTATAACTTTGAGGGACTTATTGGATGAATATTTATTTTTGATTACTTTGTTATTCATGTTGTATGATGAGAATTTACATGCAAGGAGCATGAAAGGAAGGACTGCACTATGACTTGTTGATACTTTCATTCCATCCAGGAATCTTCTTTTGTTTCAGCCTATTTTATTTTGCAGGATCCTAGAAGGATAATATTACATATTGTAACTGACTCATTGAATTATCCTGCAATGATGATGTGGTTTCTGACAAACCCACCAACTCCAGCAGCAATCCAAATCAAAAGCCTAGATGATTTGAAATGGTTGCCTGGTGATTTCAGTTCAGATTCAAGCTGAAGGGTGTTCGAGATCCAAGATACACTTCTGCACTGAACCACTTGCGTTTTTATTTGCCAGAAGTGTTTCCCTCTTTGGGGGCAAGGTTGTACTCTTGGACCATGATGTGGTAGTCCAGAATGACTTAACTGGATTATGGGATCTAGATATGAAGGGTAAAGTAATTGGTGCTGTTGAGACATGCACTTCAAGTGAAGGTTACCATCGATTGGATAGCCTTGTTGACTTTTCTAATCCAAACATCTTCAACAAACTTGATCCAAAGGCTCGTGCGTTTGCATTTGGAATGAACATATTTGACCTGAATGAATGGCGCAAACAGGATTTGACTACAACTTATCATAAATGGTTTCAACTGGTTAGTGTTAATGATATCTTAATTAATTTTGAGGGAGCACAGCTTTTATGTGAAATATTTCTGCTTTTACTTGTTGTTTATGACAACCTATTTTGCTTTGGTTTCCAATTTTCAGGGCAAAATTGAGAAGTTATGGAAGGCAGGAAGCTTGCCACTGGGTCAGCTCATCTTCTACAACCGAACACTGCCTCTTGACCACCGATGGCATGTTCTTGGGCTTGGTCATGACTTCAGCATTGGAAGAGATGAACTTGAGAGTGCCTCTGTTATCCACTACAGTGGGAAACTGAAACCCTGGCTGGAAATTTCTATCCCAAAGTACAGACACTACTGGAACAGGTACCTTAACTATGATAACCTACACTTGCAGCAGTGCAACATTCACGGATAAAGGCGATGGGGGTGAGGTGATTCGCAAGGTGGAACATGGATACACAGCTTCGCTGTAGAACTTATTAGGAGGGCGAGTTGATCTCTCTTTTTTTTTTTAAAGTTCTGTTGCTAGACGCCCTATTATGTACTTAGGGGTATGTTTTTTTGCTAGTAGTCACAGCAAGTACAAAAACAAAAGGAACAACAAAATTGAATACAAGAGGTACAGTTCACTAGTGATACTGAAGTTTCGACAAAAGCCAAACCACTAGCTAACATTATCAATAGCAGATTATTCGTATCCAAGTTTTTTTGAGCATAGTGAACTCACCCCTAGGCGTGCATCCACACTCTACCCCCTACGCATCCCTTTGTGAGGGAGACTAGGCTAAGAGATCTCGATATTAATTCAAAGTTACCATATACGCTTCATTGTCAACGAGTATATCGTCTACCACTAAAAATTAGTGTTGTCTCGGGCCTGGGGAAGAGTGCAGCTTCCACTGCGCTCAATTTGCATTGGACAAAATAGATGTATATTTTCGCAAATAATATTCTCATACAAAGAAGAGATTACTATTGTCATTTAGAAAAGTATGCCATAGTGCTGGCATTGCCATAGCTTGTTTCATTTTCCTTTTTGTCAGATATTTGTAATATAAATTATGAGTCTCCACTGTGGACATCTCAACAGAGTGAGGAATCTGAAAATATGACGTGTAGCTAAAGTTACATCTTCTATAATTCATTTCTATTTGAATATTGCTAAGGCCATGGTCAGAATTAATTATACAGGATTCAGAGAACTGGTCAAAATTGTAGTACACAGGAGATAGTAATCTCCTTTTGGAATGGACGGCTGAAATGGCCACACTACCAGAGTCTGTTGTTTGTATAGCTCTTTCTCTGAATCATCTATGATCCATCACACAAGAACTTCAAGCACGCAGCTCGTTCAGGTTATCTGATCGAGATGTGCCACCACATAGCACGGCACAATCGGCCTTTTTTAGTTGATCACCAGGGACGCTTGTTTGAAATTCTGAAAGAGTACAAACTTTGGCGCATCCGTACGTCGCTGTGAGTTGCGCAGAAGTTCCCAGGCCTGGTTTAGATTGTAAGTTTTTTCACTCTCTCTATCACATCAAATCTTTGCACACATACATGGAGTATTAAATGTAGATAAAAAAAATAACTAATTACACAGTTTAATTGTAAATTACGAGATGAATTTTTTGAGCCTAGTTAGGCCATGATTGGACAATAATTGTCAAATACAAACGAAAGTGTTACAGTGCTAAATACTGATTTCTAACCCCAATCTAAACAATGCCCCAGTTTGAGAAGAACAGAAACCGTTTTGGGCCTCGTTTAGTTGCACCGATTTGGCGTCGACAAAAACACTGTAGCTACATTGTAGCTGCAGTGCGTTTTGTTTTTATTTGGTAATAATTATCCAATCGTTGACTAATTAGGTTCAAAACGTTCTTCTCGCAAAGTACAACCAAACTGTGCAATTAGTTTTTAATTTCATCAACATTTCGTACTCCATGCATGTACCGCAAGTTTGATGTGACGGGGAATCTTCCTTTTCTATAGTGCCAAAGTTGGTAATTTGGAGTAACTAAACACCCCTTGGTTTGCTGTTTGCACGCACGCCCAGGAGCCGAACGCTGACACGCGATAGGGACGGCTGGTGGCGACGTATGCGTGTGACGACGAGGTGATGATAAGGATGGCTGCGTAGCTGGGAAATGGTCTATCGAAGCTTAATTTCTCTAATTTTCGTTGCCACGATTGGCATTCCCACCGAAAATTGAATTTAACTGGATGTATAAGTTAAAACTTAAGAGCCTGGTTTGGCATGTTTGGAAGTAAAAAAAAATAAAATCGGAAGTAACATATATATGGAACGAACTTGTCGGGCTAGGGCTGGACAAAATACTCGCGGCTCGCCAACTCGCTCAACTCATGGCCGGCTCAGCTCGGCTCGACTTGGCTTGTTTTAACTTTTTCACGAGTTGAGTTGGAAGTCTAGCTCGGCATTTTAACGAGCCAGCTCACGAGCTGCTCATGAGCTAAAACGAGTTGAGGCCTATCAGCTCATGACCATAAATCCAGAAGATGATGATCTTGACTTAGAAGTACACCTATTATATTGGTATGTAATTCTTATTTTCAGCTGTTTCATATGAATTTTAATTTTATAATTGTTGTGGTACTTAAATGTTGATTTTATGGATTGTTTTCGGAGAGAAGATGATGATGTTGACATTGAATCTGTGGACTTTTCTAAATTTGTGGTGGCACGCAACTAGTTAGCATGCTGTAACTGCATGATCATGGATGGATCAATTATGTTGCATGGTTGATACTTTTGATGAACCTGATATGTATTAATCATGTATGGTTGCATAATGGTGGACGTCACCTTCTGAAATTAATATAGCATAAATATTATAAACATGTGTGTCCTATTTTTTTAATAGCTCACAAGCTAAGCGAGCCAACTCGAGCTCGGTAACAAGCCGAGCCGAGCTGCCCCTCTAGCTCGTAATATTAACGAGCCGAGCCGAATTGGCTCATTAGCCTAACGAGCCAGCTCGAGCTGGACCGAGCCAAGCCGAGCTGGCTCGATATCAAACCCTAGTCAGGGCTTTGTTGGTTGCTGGGAGAGGAAATAGGATCACAATAGGGGTTGGGCTGGGCCGCCCATTAAAAAATGGTGGTCCGGCCGGCCTGCCAACCGGATTTACCACATTGGTAAGGTTAGGACTTGTATTGTGTTTTTCTTAGGAATGAGCATAAAACCCGATTCTCGAACTTTGAATCCGAAATACCTGAAAACTAAAAATTTAGTTCTTAAATCGGGTATTAAGCCTAGATACTAGAAATTAGTTTGGAAAGTTCATGTTTATATAACCATGGAGTCCGAATATCCTAATTACCTCGGAGTCTCTTCCCCAAGGTAATAAATAGCATATAGCGATTTGGTAGCAGATTGACGTCGAGGTAGTGGATTGTGGATAGCGGGCGATATTGCGGACGATAAGTTTCAATAATGGCATCCGATAATCCCACATAAGTTTAAGTAAATATATCATGAATAATGAGTATAAATAGACATTTAATTACACTCAAAGAATACCTAAATCTAGACCTAGAGGCTACAGCCGATGCGTGAGTGTGTTTGAGTTGGGGGTGTGAGTTGTAGTGGGCTGGGCAGATTAGGGTTATTTGTTTTCACGCTATTGCAGCCTGTTGCATGCAATTGCGACCGCAAAGTCCTAGGCTGCAAAGTTCTAGGCTGTAAAGTTCAGAGCGCTACCTCGTAGCGGTAGCGGCAAACCACAATTGCGGCCGTTACCGCCACTATTTATTACGTTGCTCTTCTCCCACGAGCAGTCACGCGCCTCTCTTCTATGTTTCTTCTCCCCAACCTTCACTCCTGTTCGCTCTGCAGTTTTAATTAATTTGGGTCATTGGTCGACTAAAAAACTTGCTCATGAAAATTCCATTTGCGTGGGGTCAACCGCTCAAGAAAAAATATATATTTTTTGAGCAATCATGAAAATATTCTGTGGCGGAAGTAACATAAAGATCTCTAACATAAATGGACCGAACTTGTCGAGCCGTAGTTGGCTGCTGGGAGGTGAAATAGACAAGACAAATAGGGGTTGGGCTGGGCTCCATTGCTCCAATGTGGTCTGGTCGGGCAGAAAAAAAAAAGTGATCTGGCCGGCCTGCCGACTGGGTTTAGATCCGTGGTAAGGTTAGGACTTGAACTGTGTTTCACATTAGGGTATCTTCACATTATTAGGAGTGGGGCATAAATCCGATTCTCGAACTCACAAAGCGTTGCCGCGGACCGGGCCCACGCCTGAAGTTCTAGTTCGTTTGTACGCACATTTGAATTCTGCCTCAGTACTTATCCACGATAGAAGGAATATAATCGGTCAAAAATAGAGAACAAAGTGACTTCTTGTGGAATGGGCAGCCGAGACACCCGGCCTATTCACTTTTCATTCCACTCCTCCCCGAGCCTTAAAGCATTACAGGAGGCTGCTGGTGCAGCGCATCTGCTCTCCTTGCTCTCAATAACATTACCGTGCTCCAACCAAACAAATTAAGTAAACACGCCACCACCGCTCCCTCCGTAATCCATTTCCCAAACTATTTATGTTACCAGTGAGTGAACCAAACACCATGAGCTTTTCTTAAAAGCTGGGTGTCAATCTTGTTTTTCTATAACAATGACTATGTAATTACATATATTCCCTCCTTTGTATATAACAATGACTTGTTGCGATGCTAAATAAGTGCACACAATACGTTATGGCAACATTTGATTCATATAGTTTCATCTGAATCTTACTGGTTCACATAATTTATTCAAAAGTACAAATTTGTGGTTCAGTCTTGCCTTTCCAAATTTAACACTATGATAAAGCAAAATCTAGCACAACTTGAGAAGAAATTCAGCATTCAGAATAAGCAAAAATTAGTACAATCCATGTTGGCATAATCGACATAAATTTTGAATACTGTCACATAAAAATTAAAAAATAATGTAAATCATCATTGAAAAAAAGATCAAGTATAAAATTTAGTAAAGGATGGGAACACAGTTGCTCCATCTTTCGACGATGCATTAAAGAAGGCATATGCTCCAAAATCTTTATATAAAACCTCATCCTGATTTAAGAGAGAGGAAAGGTCTCCCATTTTTTAGAGAGATGGTGGTGGATTTAGGAGATATTCTAAAGAATACATGTATAGGAGATCTTCTGTAGCTATTACATTTCCTATTTAAAGGATATATAGGGGAGGGTATAAGAGATATGTGGAGATGCTCTAAGCATCTTTAGTTGGTCATGTTTTATTTATCGAAACTAAATTGCTAGGTTATGCATAGAGCTCACAGGTGATTATAAATAATTTTAACATGAGGACAAAACATAACCCAAACCATATATGGTAACTATCTAATAAAAAAAGATCAAAACACCGCTCATGATTGCGAGCATGGTTGCCATAGTTTTTTTCGTCTGACAATAGATCCATATTTTGTGTGTAG